TGCTTCTCTCTATCCTTCTACTTTTGCTTTTTACTTCTCTTTCTTTTATCAACTTTCAGCCTCTCCTCTTTCCTACTGCTTTCGTCCATTCGAACCCACTACTATCGGCCCACTTTGGTTGAAGAATTTCCTAAGTGATAGGCTCTTTGCTTCACTTGTTCATAAGGATATATGGGCCTCCATTTTAATTCCCAGAGAATTATTCATCGGGATTATGAACTCCAGAACTTACAAATGCATTGCTGAGCCATATTGCCCTGCACAATTTGCTAGACAATTTGGCTTCACTCAGGGGGTCCCAATACCTCTCTGTAGTAACACCAATCTAAGTCTTACCACGAGGGATGTGAAAGTTCGAAGGTCCAGACTGGAAGAGGCAACTTCCAAATTTATGCAGGACTTGATCGATTTTGAATATATCTCCTTCCTTCCCCAAGGTAACATTTTGAAGAGATACCAAAATTGGTGGGTGACCAATATGGAAGTGCACCTAGCCATTCCCCCTCAAGACCTGTTGAAGGTGTTAGACGTACCCAAGCCCAAAGGAGCTGGAGCTGCTACTTCTTCCACTGTTCTGACCACTTCAGTTCCTGTGTTTGCCTCTATTCCTAGAGTTACTCAGGCCACCTCGAAGAAAGGTATATACTCTTATCTCTTCTCTTTTATCTTCTTCATGATGCTTTTAGTCTTATCTTTAGTTCTTCCTTTTGTGAAGGTGGTGTAGGTACCTCACAGGGAGATTCTCCTCAGAAGATTCAAGCTCAACAAAAGAAGAGGAGACCTTTACTTGAGCCTGAGAAGGAAGTTTTTGAGGTGCAAGCAGAAGAAGAAGAAGAAGAAGAAGAAGAAGAAGAAGCAAAAGAAGAGTTAACCCAAGAGCAAAAGTCTCCCCTGAAAAGAAGGAAAAGAGTAGCTGTCCCTTCTTCTGGTTTGGTTCAGGATCCCATGCATGAGACAATGGTCAGAGTGGAGGAACTTACTTCGGAAGAATCTGAATCCCAAACTGGAGAGAAAGGAGTTGAAGAAGAACATTCAAGGCCTGCACAAAGAAAAATGAGAAGAAATACGACTGTTTCTTCTTCTGATTTTGTTGGAGACCCTATACATAAGGCAGCTGCTAAGGTAGTGGAACAAAAGCATTCCAAGGCCATAATTGTCTTTGAGAGAGCTAAAAAGAGACGGCAGCAACAATTTCTGAGAGATGAAGCTGCTGCTGCTGATGCATTACAAAGGGAAATTACAAGAAGGCAACAAATTGCCGAACATTACTCCCTTCGTAGCTCCACTACAAAGGGAAACTGCAAGAAGGCAACAAACTGCTAGACATTACTCCCTTCGTAGTTCTCCCATCATCGCCGACATTTTTGGAGTAGGTAATCTCTTTCCTACTTCTGCTGTTTTTCCTTTGTCAGCCCTTGGTATTGAAGTTTCACATTGCTTTACATTTCTTTCTCTTGCAGCAGCAACTTCTGAGTTCATCTTTCCAATGAGACCTCTCTTAGTTTCACTTGAGGTTGATCAGATGCAGGATGTGAGGGTTATTCAGATCATACTTCCACTTCCAAGGTCTACACTTCCTGCACTTTCCCTGAGGCCAACCATTCCTGCACTTCTTTCTTTTGGTTTGACTCCACATCTTTCCCACTTGACCTTCGACTTTTCTCAATTTACTTCTCTATCGAGCCTTGCTCCTCCTCCTCCTTCCAAGGAAATTCCAACTGTTACCCCATCTCTGATGGTAGTTGATCCCCCTATTGAGGGTGCTGGCAGCTCTCCAACCCGTGGTTTATCACCTTTACCTAGCTCCAGCCCTTCTTCACTTGATTCATTGGTGGCTAGGACCATGGAGACTGCTAAAGATGTCTCACCCCTTTCTCCTATCCCTATGCAGTCTTCTGTGTCTTCCACCACAACTCTTTCTGCGCCCCTTATGTCTAATGACGAGGTAGATGTCTTCGAAGCAAGACTAGCTAGTCTCTTCGATATCCCCTCTACTTCTCCAGCATTCGATAAGGAAGCTGAGCCATTAGTTTTGGCTGACTCTTTACTGGAAATCTTTGAGAGCTTTTCTTCTTCCAGTAGCAAGCCCTCTGTACCTTTGATAGACTCAGACACCTGCCTGGAACTGTTAAATTCCTTTTTGAGGATTCTCTTCGAGGCTCTACAAAGGCCTATAATCAGAAATGGGTTTCTTCAGTGCTGCAAAATTGTTGAGCAGTCCAGCATGAATGTCTCAAGTCACCTATCCCAGGCAGCAGCTACTATCGACTTCTACATCAGCATTTGTCATGCTGCCAAGGCTGCGGATAAGAAATTAGTTAGAGACCAGAGTTTTGTTTCCCAAGTGCATACTGTAGTGTCAAAGCTTAAGGAACAACACTCATCTGCCTCTCAATTTCGAATTCAGCTACTAGAGAGGAAAGCTCAGCCTTAGTCCGAACTGACGTCAAACTGCAAATCACCAACCAAGGACGGGCCGATCAAAAGAGAGACATGGCCGCAGCTATTCAACTATTTTAATCATTTACCACTAGGAAATCTGTTGTACAAAAACAATTAAAACATTGTAATGATTTTTGGGCCTATTTTCATCATTTACCACTAGGAAATCTATTGTACAAAAACGATTAAAACATTGTAATGATTTTTGGGCCAATTTGTGGCACGATGTACTTGACTCTTTATGAAAAAACAAATTCTTGTTTATCATCTGAGCGATCTTGTGTTCTTGTACTTAGTGCTTATTTTATTCCTTGTGTTTCCCAAATCGTTGGAATATAAGGCTTCAAATACCTGCCATTAATCTTTTTGGGATGCACATAACCATTCAGATTTCTTAAATGGTATGCTCCAAAAGGCAGAACTCTATGAATTTGATATGGTCCTTCCCAGTTAGGTGACCATTTGCCAAACTTATGGCTTTTAATTCCTACTGGAAGTATTGTCTTCCATACCAAATCACCTTCATCAAAGCCAATGTATTTGACTTTCTTATTATAATTTTTGGCTGCTTTCTTCTTTTGCAAGAGAATGCTATTTAATGCCAGAATTCTAGCTTCATCTATGCTTTCTAACTCCAAGCACATACTCTGATGGTACTGCTCAGCCTCTCCAATTTCTGAAAATGGATTATTGTCGATCCCCATGGCCTTTTTAGCTTTGGCTGGGAATTTCAAACTTCCTTTCCGAATTTGTTCTTAGATCCTGTCTCGAAAAACAACACAGTTTTTAGTCGAGTAAGACCAAGAATTATGCCATTTGCAATATACTTTTCCTTTAAGTTCATCAAGAGATGAAATTTTAACCCCTTTTGGTAACTTAAAGAAGTTGGCCGAAAGTAAATGATCAAAAATGTCATCTGCCTTAGTTAAATCGAAAGAATATTTCTTGTGGAGATCTTTCTTTTTAAATTGCTGGTCAATTGTCGTATCCTTATGAATTAATACTTCACAGATCATAGGCTCTTTCCCCACAATCTCTGCTGCATCAATCTCATAGTTAGGATCTTTGTAGTATGTCTTATATGATGCATTATTTCGATCTTGCTCCTCTTCTAGTAATGCTTCATATCTAGATACTTTGTAAGTCAGTTCCACTAAGTCCCTGAACTCTGTTGAGTCAAACTTCTTTCGAAGCCTGAACTCTAAGCCATTTTGGGCCAATCTTACGAATTCTGGCTCTGGCAAGATTATTCTACATTTATTTTGAGCCCTTTTAAATCTGGCAATAAACTGAGTAGCCTTCTCTTCAGGCCTTTGACTCAATCTTGCCAAGTCTGCCATGGAAACTTCTGGCTCTGATTGGAAGAATTGGGCATGAAATGCCTCTTCCATTTGTTGCCAAGTCTGGATAGAGCCAGGTGGAAGGTTAATGTACCATACAAATGCTCCTCTAGTTAGAGAGTTTGGGAATAGTCTCAACTTCATATAGTCATGATTGGTAAATTCACCACATTGCGCAGCAAACCTAGCAATATGCTCTACTGTTGATTGGTTTCCGTTCCTATAAAAAAGGACAAAATTTGGTATCTTGAAACCCCTTGGGTACTCATGTACCTTGTCGACCCATTTTGGGTATGATTTTCTGTACACAGGAGTTTAGACCCCCCGAGCCATTGGTCCACACATCTCCCTAACTATATTAGCAATTTGGTCCCTAGGGACCATATTTTGTGCCTACTGAACCACTGCTGGGGGAACAAACACAGGGTTTGGTGGACAAACTTGTGCTTGTGGTCCTCTTGGTCCATAGGGTGGTACATTTGGAACTGGTTGTCCCTGTGGTACAGGTTGCTGTTGGGGGTGTGGGTAACCTCTTTGAGCCTGTTCTGCGAAGGGACCTACGAAAGGTGCTGGAACAGGTGTTGTATCCCTTCCATTTGTGGGAAAATCTTCCAACCCCCCGGGTATAAATTCGAATAAGGGATTATTGTACCCCCTAGTGCCAGGTATGGCTTTGAACGTGAGATTTGGAACCATTCTTATGCCATTTTCTTGTACTGGGCCAGATCCACCAACTTGCATGGCTTCACTGTTGAACATTGAGGCATTTTGGCCTGCTATAGGCCTCGAAATGGGTTCGTACCAAGACTGAGGTGGTGGTCTTTCATGACTCTGATTGCTAGTTTAACTATCTGACCCAGATGTTGCGCTGCCCTTTTCTTCCTTCGAGGCCACCTTC